CCTCGACACTCTGCGAACGCGTTTCTCTTCTTGCTGTTTCTTCTTTCTTTTCTTCGCTTTTATCCACGATTCTTATCTTATTCGATCTTATTCGTGAACAGAATTGAGCAAAACCACGGATATCTATGTATGATGTACCTAGATCTCTAACGTCCGACGTTTTAGCGCGTAAAATGTGGTAAAGTATGTCGTAAAGTATGTATTACGTTGTCCGAAAAGTTTCTTTCGTTTTATTAGTAATTAATTCATACACAATATTTTATGTCTAACGTTACATTACAAAATTGTGTACAATTCATTTCGATCATTTCGATCGTATATTACTGTTACAGTATCAATGTCTAAGAAATTAGATTGTCTATTTATATATAAACACTGGCACAGAAAATAATTGAATGCAACTCACGAAAGAAACTTTTGGGACAACCTAATACAACAAGCAGTGAAATATTATACAGGATGTCACAATTAAACCAGGCCTCATGAATATCTCTCCTCACTGTGATAATATAAAAAATACTTTAGGTACAATTTGAATGGTTTGAAGAGTACCATACGCTGCATGTGGCAATGTAAAGTATGTACAACAACCAGTGAAATATTATACAGGGTGTCACAATTAAACCAGGCCCCATGAATATCTCTTCCCACTGTGATAATATAATAAATATAATCCTGTGCAGTATTAGATTGATTAACAAATTAATGTATCATTTTGTAATTGAAATTTTTGTTATATATTGTAATCGACCATTTGTCAATTTTATAATAAATCTCCTATGAAATTTCAAATAATAAAAACAAAAATATAATAAATATTTTAGGTACAATTTGAATGGTTTGAAGAATATAAAATCCGCAATCTATTTATAATTCTAGTTTGCGTAGATAATTTACTAGAGAATATCATTCTGTTAGGTGAAACTGCTAACCTCGACGTTCTCAACCTTGTCTCGACTACAATCTATATGTATATTTCATAACCAATATAAAATAAAATGTATTACGTCTACTAACCAAATTTTGAAAATACTCGAAATAAAATCATACAATGACATACGAAGCACGGTTTTGATTCATTAAATTCAAATTTTACATTTATTTTTCTTCAATATTCTCTGAGGATATATTTTACGAAAAGATAATGAAAATTAATTATTTCATTTCGTTCAATTATTCTTTTTTAAAATAGTTTAGCTTCCGATGGAATCAAAAGATTATAATCGTATGTTATTCATAAAAGAACATAGTACCAGTCTAGTTTCTTTAACCTTCGGATAAAAATAATTTAAGTTATCTTTATCTTTTGAATACATTTACGTCGAATACATTTTTTTATCCGGCAGTCATCGAATAAAGATAAAGTACGTATCTTTATTCGACGAGTAATAGATAAAAATTTCTCATCTTTATTCGACGAGTAAGAGATAAAAATTTCTCATCTTTATTCGGTATTTAAAATTTTTATTTACATAAAGATTTTCCCATCTCTGGTACCAGATATCCACATATGGTTTAATATGATTAATGATATATGTTTAAATAATTGTAATGTACCTATGCTTACATACAAAATAAACGAGTAAATTTACTTTCGTTCTAAGTAATCCTTTAATAATATAGAAATATTATTTCCTTGTTCCCCACATTAAATTTCGATGAAGCATGAACCATCGAACTTCAGCGTGCTAGATGGTCTGTTAACGAAACCGTGTCACCACTTCTCAGATTAAATCGATCGAGCTAAAGGATGTTGCTATCTTCACTTATTTACTAAAAAATTTAACAGCAAAATTTCTCCGATTGTAACACTATCAAACGTCCAAAAATAACTATTAAAAATCTATTTTATCTAAAAAGTAATTTCCTCAAAGAAGTCCCGCCCTAACTACACATCTCCACAAAAAAAACAATATAATAAAAAATCGAGTTTCAATTATTAAACTCTTTTCTGACAAATCGACATTTCTCTGACAAATCGAATTATGCGATTACAATTTACGAATGGGATTCGCGACACGACGAAAAATGTAACCGAGTAATAAAAGGGAGCGAAATATACCAACGAAATATGTATATTATGTATGTTGAATTCTACAATAATTACAATGATATTGCTATTTCATTTTACATAAGTGAATATTAGGGCGGTCCTTATTTGAATGATTTTCGAAATATATGTTACACAACCTCTAAATACCTTGCAAATAAATATTGTTTTATATTTAAAAAAAAATATTCTTTTGCGAATATCTAATGAATATGTATTTTATGTTCTGAAAAAAATATTCTGTTGCGAATATCAAATAAATATGTATTTTATATTCGTGAAAAAATATTGTGTTTTACATATAGAATAGATATTTACTTTATGTTTAAAAAAGAATATTCTTTTCTAAATCTAGAATGAAGAATCTAGAATAAACAGCATTTTTTCGTTTGTAGTTTCGTCAATTAATAATAAAAAAAAATTAGGAAAATTGTCAGCACCCGACATTGAGATTTTTGAAATCTGTTTTTTCCCTGTTCTTTAGAATCGTTTCTACCAGTTTATAGCGCTTTTCGTTTCATTGTACCTTAATAGTTTAAATTTTATAATTCAACTCTATCAACAATTGATTGTAAAATTTAAACTATTGAGGTACTGACGAAACGAAAAGCGGTACAAACGAGTACAAACGATTCTAAAGAATAGGGAAAAACAGATTTTAAAAATATTGAAAATTGACGAACTTCTCTCTTACACGTATAACAAACAATTGCTTGTAAAATTTAAACTATTGAGGTACAGACGAAACGAAAGCGGTACAAACGGGTACAAACGATTCTAAAGAATAGAGAAAAAAGAGATTTCAAAAATCTCAATGTCGAGTGCAGACCATTTTTTGAATTTTTTTTAATTATTAATGGATGAAGGTACAAACGAAACTATTGGTGGTGCAATCAACTACAAACGAAATACTATCATTTTCTATAAAAAGAAATTCATTTTTGAAAAATCGAGTGCCAGGTTCACATAGCTGTAAACCACTCAGGAATCCGCGCCCGAATAACATGGTTGTATCACAATTATTATTAGACGTTCATAAACAATAACGAGTACAACGCAAAATAATACATGAAATTTGGCCCTCTCAAATTGTTTTCTAACTCTTCTCACCGTTTTTAATAGATATTGTTAAAAACAGCACTGACGTTACTGTTATACATAGTATATACAGAAATAATTATAGTCATTTATGCTTTTACAATTAATGCTGATCTTACAATTTAAGTACATTCGACTCGTCTATTAAAATTAGCATCAAACCGTACACATGAGGTGTCAAAAAATCCACTATGAAACTAACACAATACAGGGTATCCCAAAAATGTTGTATCACCTTGAAATGGGTGGTTCGGCAGGTGATTTGAAACAACTTTTTCCTTAGCGAGATTGTTGTCCGAGGCTTCATTGAGGAGATATTAACGGAAAACACTGACCAATCAGAGCGCATGTATACTGTTGGAGCGGCCGCGGTAGCGATGGCTACGCGCTAGGTAGCCGGTCTCGTACGCGAACAAGTGACTCGACGTTCATCGAAGGATATTGACGCGGCCGCTCAGCGCGTAGCCTTCGCTTCAACGGTATCCGCGCGTTCTGATTGGTTGGGTTTTTTTATTAATATCTACTTAACGAAGCCCCATCCGACATTTTTGCAAAGGAAAAAGTTGTTTTAAATCACCTCCCGAACCACCCCTTTCAAGGACCTCCAACATTCTTGGGACACCCTGTATATATTTCATTTATGTACGTTTTCTATGTTATTGTACGTCATAAATGCATAAAATCCGCAATCTATTTACAATTCTAGTTTAAGTAGATAATTTACTCGTTATTCTGTTGGGTTAAACTATTAACCTCGAAGTTCTCAACCTTGTCTCCACTACAATCTATATGTATATTTCGTAACCAATACAAAATAAAATGTATTACGTCTATTAACAAAATTTCGAAAAGACACGAAATAAAAATCATACAATGAAATACGAAGCACGGTTTTGATTCATTAAATGCAAATTTTGCATTTATTTTTCTTCAATCTTCTCTGAGGAGATTCTCCCGAACCACCCCTTTCAAGATGTTACAACATTCTCGGAACACCCTGTATATTTCAAATATCAACAAAATATTGTTTCGATTATTAAATCAGTTATTCGTGTTACGTACATGAGTTGAACATGTTGGTTAATTATTAATTCCTCTTTTGTACCCAACATTTAATATTGTAAATATTTTTATATCGTAAATATGTAACTCCCGAACCACCCCTTTCAAGGTGTTACAACATTCTCGGAACACCCTGTACACAAACGACATTCGTAGAAGCGAGACGTTCCATCGGAACGGGAGCAGTTGTAAATACCGCGGAACGAGATATTTGATGAAAACTAATTAGAGAAGATGAGAATTTACGAGCGCAACGACACCCGGGAGAGTCGGAAGTTAATCCGATTCGCGATGTACGAAGCACCTGCCAATTTAAAGGTTAGCTCGCGTCGACATCAAACGAGCCGCGTGCGGCGCCTGGACTGTCAATCTGACAGCCGCGCGATATAACCTAATCATCGTTCATCGTACCCTTCTTCCGCGGATACAAAGGAATCTCTAGCAGTCGTTGATCGCTCGTTACGAGTTCGCGGAAATATCAGTCTCCTCGTCTACGATTTAACTCTTTGGGACTAAAAGTGGAGGCTAAAAGGGATTAAAAGTGTCCCACCTTTTTGATGGACCGTAATGCATAGTGGGACACTTTTAATCCCACCTAGAAATTCTGCAATAGCTGCACGTGTATAGGTATGATACCTTTATTAATAAAAATACAACAATTTTGTTTGATTTAAAACGGAATAAAATTCCTGTGCAACATGGATCTATTTTATGACCTGAATTCCTGTGCCGCAAAGAGTTAAAGCGTGCCTGAGAAACGTGAACGAAACGGAAACGTGACATCACTTACCCACGAACAGGCACAAGAAGTCTATGATGATTTTTCGTAGCATCGCCTTCGACGATTGATCCATGACGATTTCGATGAGGAACGAGTCCGTAGGTTTCTTACGGAAGGAGTCACAAACGACACTGTTTAGGATTTTAAGATAGGGAGAGCGAGCACAGAGGATCCTCAGTCGTTGACGAGCGAATGGAATTCGGAAAAAAAGCCACCCTGCCGGCGTACGGTTCGGAATGGACTGAAAGACGGCCGGCCGCTGTTCGCGAATTTACCTACAAACGAAATAGACACCCGACCCGATCGAGATCCGAGCAAAGACTGCGACTGCGGCTGCGCGTCGTATCGCTTATTCGCTGCGCAGACCACGCACGTGCCCAGTCGGCTGCTTACCGTCCCATATAAATTATTACGCTAAACCTACCACAATCTGCTCGATTCGACCCTTGTACTCCAAACTTGTGTCGAAAGGCATTCGATTGTTGACAATTATTTTATTGCGGTATTTGAGAAGAATTCTTGTAATTGAGAATTAAGTTTATTTATTGGTCAGTTTCATCCCCCTTTTTTTAAATAATATCGATGTAGTCGTAAATGTTATAATTACATAAGTATTGAATTCGGTAGTTTCAGTGTTAATAATGTCTTTAAGTTATACCATGTCTTTAAATTATAACGCTAAACCTACCACAATCTCCTTGATTCGACCCTTGTACTTCAAACTTCTCTCGAAAGTCAGTATTTTTCAAAATGTTAATTAAAATAATTGAAATATTTGCAATATTAATTGAATGAGTATTATTTGAAATATTAATGAAAACTGTTAAAAAAAAATGAAACAGTCCTTCTTTAGAATAAAAAATTGTATTTCACGGTTTTATAGTTGTTATTTTAATGTTACTTACAATATTAATAAAAATTGTTAGGAATAAGTGGAATTTCACTATTTTATAGTTGATATTTTAATATCATTCAAAATATTTATTAAAATAATTGAAATATTTGCGATATTAATTATAAGAGTATTATTTGAAATTTTAATAAAATTTATTAGGAAAAGCCATTTAATTATATGTAGAACTGGTGCACTAGAAATTATTTTATACCTTTTTAGTACCCTTTTAATATTTTTTCGAAGTCGATTATATTTTTTTCCAAAAATTCTTTTATTGTCAGTTTTATATGCTCTTGAATATGGAAACCATATCTGACACCACACAAACAGCAACCAGGATACGCGCTGATTATGATGAAGACGCTGTAGCTGAAGAAACTGCACGGAAGTGGTTTGCTCGGTTTGAAGCTGATGATTTCAACCTTGACGACCAAGAATGTCCGAGTAGATTCTCCACTTCTGAAACGTATTCGATCAAAGAGGTACGATTAAATTCTGCTTCGAATAATATTCAAATCAAAATTACGATTATATTCTACCTCGAATAATATTCAAATAAAAATTACGATTACATTCTACTTCGAATAATATTCAAATAAAAATTACGATTACATTCTACTTAGGCAATAATCGAATAAAAGATACAAATAAATTCTGCTTTGAATAATATTCAAATAAAAATTACGATTACATTCTACCTCGAATAATATTCAAATAAAAATTACGATTACATTCTACCTCGAATAATATTCAAATAAAAATTACGATTACATTCTACTTCGAATAATATTCAAATAAAAATTACGATTACATTCTACCTCGAATAATATTCAAATAAAAATTACGATTACATTCTACTTCGAATAATATTCAAATCAAAATTACGATTACATTCTACCTCGAATAATATTCAAATAAAAATTACGATTACATTCTACTTCGAATAATATTCAACTAAAAACTACAATTAAATTCTGCTATAAATAATATTCGAATAAAAATTATGATTAAATTCTGCTTCGAATAATATTCAAATCAAAATTACAATTATATTCTGCTTCGAATAATGTTCAAATAAAAATTACGATTAAATTTTGCTTCGAATAATATTCGAATAAAAATTACGATTACATTCTACTTAGGCAATAATCGAATAAAAGATACAAATAAATTCTGCTTTGAATACTATTCGAATAAAAGAGGTACGATTAAATTCTGTTTCGAATAATATTTAAATAAAAATTACGATTATATTCTACCTCGAATAATATTCAAATCAAAATTACGATTACATTCTACCTCGAATAATGATTCAAATAAAAATTACGATTAAATTCTGTTTTGAATAATATTGAAATAAAAATTACGATTAATTTGTATTTTGAATAATATTCGAATAAGTCGAAATCATTCGAAAATAACGAATTAATATTAGATCAAAACACTGAGAATAATCTACGTTTTACAGGCGAATTATGAGTGCGGACAGTAGAGCAGTGCGTAGAGTAGCCGACTACCACGCTAAGAACCTGAGTTCGAATCCTGGGCGTCCAACACGGTTTTTTATGGTTGAATTAGGGCCGTCTAACAAAAAATATGAAATATGGAAAAAGTCTAGGGTGAAAAATAATGAATAAAGATAAATGCAATAACGAATAAATAGTCAAATAGCTCCCCAAGTTAATCACTATAAACTCAACACAAAACATGCGAATTACCAGGAATGTTAAAATGATTAAAAAAAAAACAATACATATGTCGAATTGAGTAACCTCCTCCATTTTCGAAGTCGGTTAAAAACCACCATCTACGAGCATATTGCGTAACTTATACAGATATTCATGCATTCATGACAAGCGTAAATATACAAAAATAGACAAGGATGCGTGCGAATACATAAATATATAAATTATAAAAAAAATCAACTATACGTTACTAAAGTACACATCAATTCGCTTCTGTTCTTCATCTCTGTACACAAAATATGGATTTCTCTTCCAGAAGAAGTTCTGGAAGAATGGAGTCTTCATAGAAGATAGAGAAAAATTGAGGAAGAAAATGGCCCTATGTAATTCGATAAATGTATTCTGAAAATTGAATCTGCTGCCTCGAAATTTTCCTTAAAAATCCCGATATCAAAGAAGGAAGTTTGTGAAAGAATTTATCATGGTGTGCTATCATTCCGACGTGTTGAATTGCACGAGTGAAGATTAAGGAATTCGGCAGTAAAAGTTTCGTGAGTACTCGAAATAGCTTAGTTGTGATGAAAATTGTAGGATGGCAGTGAATGAAGAATGTCTCGAAATGGGGTCATTAACCCAAGCTATTCTTATCCGGGAACACTGGTTGTTAATACGTACAACAGGTCATGGAAGTAGTCGAGGCATTCTGTAAAGTGAAAAGAGATAAGATTACGGAAAAATATGGAAGTAAGGGCAAATATTGTTCGAAGGACGCGCGCCATTACCTTTGTTTTCATCCTGCCGCCCGGCAAACCGCAGATACCTGAACGACACTCGCAGACGTTAGATGTTTGAACATGGCGCAACAGCGATATTCGTTATGAACATCGCACTGCAAGAATTAAAATACTATTTGAATAAAAGATACAAATAAAATCTACTTCGAATACTATTTGAATAAAACATACAAACAAATTCTTTGAATAATAGTCAAATAAAAATTACGATTACATTTTGCTTCGAATAATATTCAAATCAAAATTACAATTATATTCTTCTTTGAATAATATTCAAATGAAAATTACGATTACATTCTACTTCGAATACTATTCGAATAAAAGAGGTACGAATAAATTCTGCTTCGAATACTATTCGAATAAAAGAGGTACGATTAAATTCTGCTTCGAATAATATTGAAATAAAAATTACGATTAAATTCTGCTTCGAATACTATTCGAATAAAAGAGGTACGATTAAATTCTGCTTCGAATAATATTGAAATAAAAATTACGATTAAATTCTGCTTCGAATAATATTCGAATAAATATTACGATTACATTCTACCTCGAATAATATTCAAATAAAAATTACGATTACATTCTGCTTCGAATAATATTCGAATAAAAATTACGATTAAATTTTACTCTGATTAATATACGATTAAGACGAAGTCATTCGAAAATAACGAATAAATTTTTATTCGAACAAATTGTGGACAAAACGCAGAACAAATCGATACATAATTTATTTCTGAAGGAATAATTTTTCCTTAAATAAAATCATTATTCATGAGAAACTCTTGGAGGAGGGAGGAGGGGGTGTTCGTTACCTCCACTCTTCATTCGTTATTCGCAAATAAATTTGCCCAACTCTTTATTTCAATTGACAGTTTTCGTTAAAGTATAAGTATTAGGGATATCCTCATAACTTAATATTGCGTGAAAGCTAATGCGTAATAATTGAAACAATCATTTTGATGTCACCTCTTACTTAATGACTAGTCACACCACTGGGAGCGGCTCTGATTAAACGTAATACAAATAATCCTATGATGGGTTTGCACGGCAAAGATGATCGATTCTCCTTGTGTCATCCGCACCTATGCTTTCACCACAAAGGAAGTTGCTCAATGAGCGTCACAATAATACTCATTCCTAAAAGGATGCTAACATTTACGGAAGGTGTTAAAGTTATTTACTTTAAACAGATTGATTCAAGTTTTAGAATCACATATTTTATGACAATAGCTGCCTACCGCGGTTCCACCAGCGTGGAATATTATTATCATTAATTATTAATATAATTAATATAATATTAATATAATTATCATTATTATCATTAATGGAATATTTAATTATTAATGATTAAAAAAGAATATTTAAAAAAAAATATGGTTAAAAAGTGTAACGCAATAACAAAATCTACTCTGAGACTATTTCGTAACGCGTTTAGCCGTAATATAATATTTTACAACTTTTTACCGAATTACAACACCAATAGAACAGGTTATACCTGTAGTATTAACACTAATGAAGTGTGACCGAAATGTGACTGTATTTATTGCTTAGCTGAAAAATAATAACGACCTATTTGAATTGGGTAACGTGATTTTTTGGCTCTTCTTAGAGGATCTCTACAGACAGAGATGGGCAAAATCCTATGCTTCGAATAAAACTGAAGTTTGCCGATATGTTTGTCTCGTTTCTTTCTCTGGAAAATGTTCAAAAGAGGAAACGAGACAAACATATCGGCAAACTTCAGATTTATTCGAAACCTAGGGTTTTGCCCATCACTGGTCACAGAGTACTCTCATTCTTCAAGTTCTGAATTTGCATGTCTATGGTCTTATAAGTGATTCTAAGGACAATTGTCACAGAGTTGTTTTCCATTATTTTTAGTTGTATTACAGAGATAAAACTTTTGTCGGAAATCTTCACGTTCCTGTCGTATTTTCAGATTACAGCTGACTCTAAA